TCTAAACGATTCTATGATTCTGTGATCATTTTTCTACAAAATACATATATATATATTTATAAATTAAATCTGTAAAACAATATTTGCATTAAATAAAACCTAATACTGTCACAGTATTTTTACATTTCAAATGTTCACAGAAAAATAAATCTTACAAGAAGGTGCAAATGAAATACCAGTCAAGCCCAAAGCTTCTGTTGTTTGATTTTAAAGAAATTATTATTAAAAATACATCCACATTTGAACCTTTCTTAAAAATCTCTCGTAGCCTGTTGCGTGGCACCTTTGACTCTGCTCATAGTGAGTTCTCAGTACAGCAAACTTCAGAAAGGTTTGGTTCCTCTGACTGCATTTTAATCACACTGCTGTTAATGAAGAGTAGATGTGTTGGGGCAGGGTCAGTTATCAGTGAAAGGGAAATAATTTGCCCCATCTTTGGTGAAAAGAGGACCTGAAAGACTTGATGGGCATCTAGCCCTCAAAGCACAGCCTCGTGGTTAAAGCTTATCCTAGGCTTCAAACCATATGGCTTTCGAGCCAGAAATGGGAACTGATGGCAGAAAAATAGTGTCTGGACACTTCAATGACTTTGATTTGGGTGTATGTCATTTGCTGCGGCCCAAAATGGAGGCTTAGTTAATTATTTAAATGACAAGTCCTTTGGGGCCACCTTGTGCTCCTTGCTTCGTGGTCATCGTGGCTTGAGGCAGGTTCTTGGTACTCTCCATAGAAATTAGTCACAGCTGGATTGTCTTTTGCTTCAGAAATTTATAATACTGTGTCAGCTAGTAATTTTTAGGATCAAATTCTTTCTGCATAGAAAGACTCCAAAATCTTTGCTGCCCCTTGCTGAAGCCAGGGTGCGTGACCAGGATGGGGCAATGGCCCCACCAGTGACAACAGTGCACAGCATCACCTCTCGTCACGGGTCCTTGTCCTTCTCCTACTGCCAAAGGTACCTGCTCCTGGCTGCCCAGCTTAGAAATGGGGCCTGTGGGAATTGCACGGTGTTATTTATATTCAGAGAAAAATTGCAACCAAAGTATTAAATCAACATATTTTCAGTCAGGTTGGGTTTTGGCAGGATTTTGTTTGTTTTTCTCCAACCCTCACTGGAATCAGCAGAACTTTGTCTGAGTTGTCGCTGTCAGTGTCCTGGGGAAAAAAAAATTGGGCAAAACCCCAAAATATAGTGAACATTTGAAGTTCTTGCAACCGTTTGGGGAAGGCCAGCGCTAGTAATCCATGGTGTCCTCCCTGAGCACATCCTTGGAGTGCTTCCTCACGTAACTAAGGCTGTGGAGCTGAATGCTGTCTTGCAAATCCTGCCTGGAAAGGCGTCTCCTGAACTCATCTGTAGTAAAGTAGTAGATGACTGGGTCCACGCAGGAGTTCAAGCTGGCAAGGCACAAAGCTACGACGTGAAACACCGAGATCACCTTCTGGACACACCTGTTTTTAATCTTTTTTGTTTTGACAAAGAAATCTAGTGGAAAGCTGATATGATAAGGTCCGAAGCAAATCAGAAATACCAGAGCGCAGGTGAGAATCATCTTCAAAGCCTTTTTTTTCTCTCCGAGGTCATGTGAAGCAGAATTTTTTTCTTTTAATGATAAGATAGTTTTCCAGGAGCAGTATAGGATGATGAGTAGGGGTGTTACGAACCCCACCAATTCACCTATTGTCATCATTGCAATGGAGATGGGAAGGTCAACTTCCTTTACGGGGAGATCCACAAAACACGTGTTTTTAACATCCTGGTGAAGTCTGAGAAGTGGGAAAGGCAAACAGCCAACGCAGACCACAACCCACCCAATGATGCTGATATACACATCACAGATGCGTTTGCAGTCGCTGAATTTGAATGGGTGTATAAGAAACAAGTAACGTCTTACGCTGATGCAAACCAAGAAGTAGATGCTTGCGTACATATTGACATACTTCAGGTAGAAGCAAAGCATGCAGAGACCTCCTCCAAATTCCCATGTCCCGGTCAAGTAGTAGAAAATCCTCAGGGGCAAGGACAAAACCTGCGATAAGTCCGCAATGGCTAAATTGATCATAAATATTACGGCCCTTTTAGTCTCTTTCATGTACCCATAAAAGACCCACAAAGCTAATGTGTTTCCTATTAGTCCAGGGACCAGGATGAAAGTGTACGTAATCGCATAGTAGGGCTTGAGGTCTGTTTCATTGCAGGTCGAACTGTTCGTCATGGTTGTGCTCCAGATCCGTGCTCAGCCCCGGCATGGTAACATGTTCCTCACTCGCATCCTGCAGCCAGGTTGTCCTCAGGTTGTCGGTGCTGAAATAAAAAGGTTCAGCGTCTGTGTGGGTGACTTCGGCTACCAGATCATCATGTCCACTCTGGGGAGGAGCTTCGTTATAGGGTGAGCAAGTTAATTAAAGTTCCGCTTGTGTGCTTGGCTCATGCTCTTTTCAGAAGTTACCAGACCTTACTCTAGTTGCTTGCAGGATTGACAGGGAGAGGATCCACACCAAGAAATGCATCGTCGTGTGCCGCAGCAGTCAGCAGTTTATCACCAGAGCTGCACCTCTGTCACCTTTTGGGTGGCATTTCAGCCACTTCCCTCAACACGGGAGTTTGACAACCGACGTGGCCCCACAGCTGAAAGACAGAACGGTGCAGTTGTAACACTGCAGGGAGACACAGGTCTTACCAAGCAAAAGGTACAGGAAAGCTCACAAGAGCGGTAGGAGCATCTCTCTAGCAGAAAGCTATTGCTAGTGTCAGCTGTGGTGGTCAGCTCTTCTCCTGCCTAACAGGTGCCATGCCTCACCTAGGGCAGGGAGGTGCAAAACCACGGAGGAAAAAAGAGAAAATGTATTTAACTGCTGCTACAAACCAGCCTCCCGTGCAGTACCGCCAAGCAGAAGTCACCCCCAATTGCAGAGGTGTCCTGGTGAGCACCCTGCCTGCATCCCTCCTCGCCGCCCAGGGGCAGAGGGATGCTCCCGCCTCACACAGCACTCATGAGTTTAACCCTCTCCTGGTCTTCCCAGGAAAGCCCTTCAGAAACTTCCCACCCGCAGCACGGCTACAGACAGCCGAGAAGATGACTGAACAAGATCTGTTCCTTATGTAAATGAGCCTGACACACACGCCTGAGAAATGAACATTTTCCACTGGTGCAGCCACCGCAGCGTGACGTGGAAGTCCCAAGGCAGTCACTTTCACCAAACTGGGGGTCAGGTTTTTCATTTAACTTTAATAAATGGAATATAAAACATATTTGCATGCAAGCAGGGACAAACGGCCCATTTATTGAACACTTTTTGCTGCAGAACTACATGCATTATATTAATTTGACTTGCTCACAACTTTTTTCTAAGACTTTCCTTTACCGATCTTGTGCATGTGACTGCTCTGGCTGTTGGAAATACCAGATATCATCACTATGGTGACTGTAGGTGGACCTTATTTAAACATTGTTTGCATTGTAAGCAGCTGATATTATCTGAATCTATCAGACAAACAAAATCTAACCCAGATCTGATAAATACAGGGGAAATGCAAACCTCTGTCCAAACTCTCTCAGGTTTGCTTTTTGCTCCAGAATGAACCTACAGGTCTAAGTGGGAAAAGTTTGTACGTACCAACCAAGATGCCAAAGGCACATTTATAAAGGCAAAATTATATCCTGCTGCAGTCTCTGAGGTTTTGTCCTGTGATTTTAGGCATTAAAATGTGAACATTTATTAATGAAGCTGATATTCAACACTTGCCAGTGTGATTACACCAAAACTTTGAAGTAGTTTTGGGTGGAAACAAAGTCTTCCACAAAAGGAAACCATGGGGGGGGGGAAGCAGCTTTTCTGTGCCCACTTGTGTGGTTTCTCTTGCATACCATTGAGTAACGAGTCCAATAAGACTGAGAGGTTTTCCCGTCTTCCATTGAGCCAGGATCTAACATAACCAGTAGAGCAAAATGGCTCGTGAAATAATCCCGTTAAACTCCAGAAGCGACAATTAATAAGCTGCAGAGTTAATCCAATTATCCTTCTTTTCAAAGACTTTCCAATTTTTTTATTAATTCACTGCCCAACCTCCAATGCACAAACCTGTACGACTAATTCTAGAAATGTGAGTAATCTCTTCCTCATGCAGGAGAACTAATTGGTGCTCACCTACTCATTCGGTTTGACCAGTCACTCACTGGTGGGTAACTTGGGCCAAGGGCTTCGGTTTCCAGTTGCTGGAGCTTGACTGGCGCAAGTAACTGGGAGGGGGCTGGGGACACGGCTGGGTTTTGGCAGTACCTGTCATGCCCTGGGCTTCCCTGGCCCTTCCGAGCTCACCCTTGGCAGCTGGTTAACCCCTCCGGGGCTTCCTGCAAGTGGCACCCACTTCAGGGGGATTCCTCCCTACTCCTGTGTACTGGGACCGAGCCAAACCAGTTGGCCAAAACCAGAACATCCTCCCTGAGTGGCTGGAAATTGCCTTGCTGGGCTTGACAAAATGCTGCGTATAGGTACAGGCAGAGCAGGCTGTGCTGGGGGAACTGGTACTTATAGAGGAACGGAGGGACGCTGACTTTCAGGTTGGTTCTCCGTGGTGATGCTGAGGCCCTGTGAAGACGTGCCCAACTTTACTGTTACAGCAAACTCCTCAGCGTGACGTATCAGGGCTTCCCATCCAGGGAAGGTCCTGCCAGGGTGTCCGAGCAAAACTAATGTCTCGACTTCTTGACTGAAGTTTGCTCTGAAGCACCAGCAGCAAGGAGCTCGGGTGACTTTGCAGTGCCATCACTTGCTACCCGTGGAGGGTTCCCGTTCCTGCAGATGCATGTGTGTCCACCTGGCACCGCTCCATGAACACTGCTCGGCAGGGCTACGCCGGGCTGGGCAGCATCTACAGGGGTGTTTGCAAGATAAAGCCCTAAACCTGTGTCACCCAGTGATTTTTTAAATTTTTATTATTTTTTTAAACAAGCTTGCCTTTCCTCTCACCCCTTGCCCAGGGGCTCCTATCACCCAGTCAGGGAGGCTGAATCATGCTCCTTTTCCTCTGGCTTCATTCCCGGGTGGGTAAATCCACCCTACCTCCATTCCTGGGCCATGAGACATGCAAAAGGGAGGACAAGGTGCACTCCCAGCCTAACTGTCTGTTCACAGCCCAGTGCGCACACACTAGCATTTTTCTTGCTGCCCCCAGCCCGGTGCCTGCATGTCCCCGTCCCCACTGCACAGCATCTTTCCTACACCACCATCCTCTGCTCCTTCCAGCCCAGCCCCAGGGCAGGGATGCATTTGCAGCACCTTCTGCCTCTCCCTGGGGTTGCAAACCCGCAGCACGAGGGGTCCCAAAAAGTCCAGATAAAGCTGGGGAGCAGTGGGGGTGCTTGACCAGGGCGCCCAGAAACGCCTGTGTGAGAGCTGCTGCCTTTGGAGGGGAGGTAAAAACACAGCAATGTGAGAAACCATGCTTTGGAAATCCTGAGCAGTAGCGTTGTAAAGTTCAGCCAAATGTGCTATGTAAAAAGCAGCAGGATGCTAAAAAAAGCTCCAGAAAGAGGAAATTTTGTTTCGCATGCTCTGCGCTCGCTTCCCCTACCGGCTGCACCGGTAGGTGCGAGACTTTCCCCAGGCACAACTTCCTTCTTCCCCCGACTGGCTTTTCCCTCCCTGTCTTGCCAAGGTGACCCCACAGTTAGCCACATCGGCACTGGACGAACACTTCTTGGTTGTACTTAATGCATCAGAAACACCAGGTAAGTTTTGCACCTAGCTTTTACAACCAGGGCTTGTTAACGCTCGTTAACTCTGGGCACATGTTGTGTAAAGTGTTTTCTATATGCTGCAGGGCAGCCATGTATCCATATGAAGAAGCGCAAAAGCCGGGGATGTGGGAGCAGTCGCTCACAGCCACCGTACCCGCGCGCCTGGCATGCAGCAAGGCTCTGCCCCATCCCACATCAGAGCCCGTCACACCCTCCATGAGTAGCGAGGCTCCTCACCTGAGGGTTGTTGTAACTGCCTGGGTCAACCCAGGACCCTCGTTACCAAATCCTGTGGGTTTCACCCCAGGAAGCAAAGCCATAGCAGCTCTTAAAACCCAGCTCGGTGGGAGGCTCTTAAACCAGCTTGGAGGAAAGCAGCCCATGGCCAGGCACTGTTTGTAGGTGCTGCCCATCATGTCCTGGTTCCCCTCTTGGAGCTCAGATCCTTAGGGAACCTGGGATGCTGCCCAACACCTCCTGTTCCCTCCTGGAGTCAGGGTAAGAGATCAGCCTGGCCAGATCCTGCCACCGAGTACCCTCCTTGCAAGGACCCCTGCGTGCCCAGGTGAGCAGTGGGTGCACAGGCACCCCGTGTTTGGTGTGGGGCTGGCGTTTAGGCTGTGAGAACCCGTAAAGCCTGTGGCAGAGGTGACAGAGCAGCAGCTGGTGCTGCACCTGGTGTCACCTGCTGACTTACCCTTCTGGGGGGAGGCTGGGCTGTGCTGCTGACTGGAACCTCGCTTCTGGTTTTCTTCCTTCTCCTCCACACCCTAAAGTAAAAGGAGAACATGTGCAGGGGTAATTTCAGATA